GCTAGTACTATTAGGTTGGAGGCCATCGCTACTAGGTGGAGGCCATCATCACTACTAGGTTGGAGGCCATCGCTATTAGGTTGGAGGCCATCGCTACTAGGTGGAGGCCATTGCTATTACGTTGGAGGCCATCGCTAGTACTATTAGGTTAGAGGCCATCGCTACTAGGTGAAGGCCATCACTATACTAGGTTGGAGGCCATCGCTAGTACTATTAGGTTGGAGGCCATCGCTACTAGGTGGAGGCCATCGCTAGTAGGTTGGAGGCCATCGCTACTAGGTGGAGGCCATCGCTACTAGGTTGGAGGCCATCGCTACTAGGTTGGAGGCGATCGCTGCTAGGTGGAGGCCATCGCTAGGTGGAGGCCATCGCTATTAGGGTGGAGGCCATCGCTACTAAGTTGGAGGCCATCGCTACTAGGGTGGAGGCCATCGCTACTAGGTTGGAGGCCCTCACTATTAGGTTGGAGGCCATCGCTACTAGGTGGAGGCCATCGCTACTGGGGTGGAGGCCATCGCTAGTAGCTTGGAGGCCCTCACTAGTAGGTTGGAGGCCATCGCTACTAGGTGGAGGCCATCGCTATTAGGTTGGAGGCCATCGCTCCTGGGTGGAGGCCATCGCTACTAGGGTGGAGGCCATCGCTAGTAGGTTGGAGGCTGTCACTATTAGGTTGGAGGCCATCGCTACTAGGTGCATGGAGGCCATCGCTACTAGTGTGGAGGGAACGCTAGTAGGTTGGAGGCCGTCACTATTAGGTTGGAGGCCATCGCTACTAGGTGGAGGCCATCGCTAGTAGGTTGGAGGCCATCGCTACTAGGTGGAGGCCATCGCTAGTAGGTTGGAGGCCATCGCTACTAGGTGGAGGCCATCGCTAGTAGGTTGGAGGCCATCGCTACTAGGTGGAGGCCATCGCTAGTAGGTTGGAGGCCATCGCTACTAGGTGGAGGCCATCGCTAGTAGGTTGGAGGCCATCGCTACTAGGTGGAGGCCATCGCTAGTAGGTTGGAGGCCATCGCTACTAGGTGGAGGCCATCGCTAGTAGGTTGGAGGCCATCGCTACTAGGTGGAGGCCATCGCTAGTAGGTTGGAGGCCATCGCTACTAGGTGGAGGCCATCGCTAGTAGGTTGGAGGCCATCGCTACTAGGTGGAGGCCATCGCTAGTAGGTTGGAGGCCATCGCTACTAGGTGGAGGCCATCGCTAGTAGGTTGGAGGCCATCGCTACTAGGTGGAGGCCATCGCTAGTAGGTTGGAGGCCATCGCTACTAGGTGGAGGCCATCGCTAGTAGGTTGGAGGCCATCGCTACTAGGGTCGAGGCCATCGCTACTAGGTTCGAGGCCCTCACTATTAGGTTGGAGGCCATCGCTACTAGGTCGCTAGTAGGTTGGAGGCCATCGCTAGTAGGTTGGAGGCCATCGCTACTAGGTGGAGGCCATCGCTACTAGGGTGGAGGCCATCGCTAGTAGGTTCCAGGCCCTCACCATTAGGTTGGAGGCCATCGCTACTGGGTGGAGGCCATCGCTAGTAGGTTGGAGGCCATCGCTACTAGGTGGAGGCCATTGCTACTAAGTGGAGGCCATCGCTACTAGGGTGGAGGCCATCGCTAGTAGGTGGAGGCCATTCCTATTAGGTGTTGTTTTCTTTTTTGCCCTGCCTCTCCTTGCAGAAGAACACTCTCGATTCCATGAGCACCAAGAAGCTTTCCAGCCTACCATAACTGAAGTGACCAGAACCAGCACGCGGGTGCCCAGCCTCACAGTCGTTGCAATGACCGTCACCTGGGTGTGGCATGTAAAAGGCCACAGGTATGTCGCATTGAACATGACACAAATATGAACAAATTAGCTGCTCTTCTTCTTGCATGAGTTTGACAGCTCAGGCTCATGCTGTGAGAATGTGCATGCCCATGGCCACCCTCTTCGCGCTCCTCAACTTGAATCTGGTCAGGATTATTAGAACTATCATGATCCTTGTGTTCTTTGCCTATTCCCGTAGAAAGCAGCGCCACTATGTTTTGTTGAACACAGTGCACTGACTGTGTGGTCCAGGGCCACAATTCATGTGCCAAGCACACTTTTCAGAGACAGAAAACATGTGTTTGGCTTGCCCGACTTCTCACGCACCTCCAAAACCGGAAGCCCAAGCACCGATGCCGCTAGTCCTGGGTTAAGCCAAAAATCATCACCTATCCACCACACGAATCTCGGAAAAACACTCCGTTTTGAGTTTTGAGTGCTGCAAATGCTTACCACACATAACTCTACAAAAGACTGGAATGCTGGCAATGACACACCTACTGCTTGAAACTATCTACATCACAAGGAAGCAAGAACAAAACTGAGCCTAACTAAGGCCCACGCTGTCTTTGTCGAAAGCTTGTAAGCCAAGAATTTCTCCCAAAGGCCTTGAGAAGCAAATCTTGTACAAGACTGTCTGTGCTGTGTTGCTTAGTCACAACCTGAGCATGGAGCACTTCTGCAAAGCGGCTTTCCAACAGCCTCCAATGCCAGCGACAATCAACATAACGCAGCGAGGCGACAAACAGCGCAGCGAAGCACAGCATAGCCTTGCTGTTGGATTTATCTCTCGCAACATGGCAGCGGCTCGTGCTCGATCTGCCTGGAACGCAACCAGCATGACTTTTGCTCTCGGCAAATCACTACACTGTGCCTCTGCCACAAGATCAACTTTGTTCAGAATGAGTACGTCAGCGCAAGCCACCTGATGGAAGGTTCCACTCCATCAAACCAGCCATAGAAGCGAAAAAAAAAAAAAAACAAACCAGCCTGCTTGATTGCTTCTGCCTCGAGCCCAAGACTTGTGCTCTTGGCGCCCTCTTCAGGATAGCCTTAATGCTTTTTGCCAGTTTATGCAAAATTTTGCCACCATGTTCCAACTGACCTGCATTCTCAGAATCCAGCCATGGCTTGCCTTCCTCTTGCCCAAATAGGACGACATGTTGTATGCATCTACCAGCGAAAGGACGCCATCGAGGTAGACCCGACCTCAACTGCAAGTAGTCCACGTGCAAAAGCAAGAAGCCAGATTCAAAACCACTCTGGTTCCACCTCTTTTGTGTGCTTCTGCTTTGCCTCTTCCATCCTGCCTAGTTCCAAGTTCTCCACTTCCGAGTCCCTCGTCGACCCAGAATACCTGCAGAATGACAGAATGAAGAGTGAAATGGACTGGAGTCGCTACCAAAGGAACACACATCCCAACGCCATGTCACACAGGCCACCCACACCCGCGGACATTGCAGCAAAAAACTTTGCGATTTACCCGTGGGCCCGCGCAGAAAAGTAATTGAAAACAAAAGGATACAAAAGCCCAACCAAAACATGCGCAATGACCAGAAGCCAAGTTAAGAAAAAAACATAATCTGTCACAGCCAGTCGCAGGCAACAATTCTGTCCAATGCAAGTCAAGTGTGAACCAATTTGAGTCCAGATATGAAAGTTCAGCAACAGTGGCCCAAACGGAGCAAAGCATGAATCGTTTGGCCTATTGGCGGCTTTTGAGCTTTGTCACTTGTTTGGTCTATTTAGACTGACTTACTTTAGTACTCTGTTTGTTGGCATAGGCAGCTAGATTGATCATAAGTAGCTTTAAAGTAATTTTGAAAATGCAAAGAAAACAAGTGTGTATCATTAGCACCACCTGCTTCACTTTACTTGAAAAGAAATTGTTTCAAGCCTCACATACGGCTTCAGGATCGGCTATCCCAGTGGCCTGTTCTTGGACAATGCGCTTGACGCTGACTCACAAGCAACTCCTCGTTGCCTCGACCAACACGTAGTCGAAGCGGTTCTTGTGTTCAAGCAAAACGTCCAACATGCCAATCAAACCATCCTCAGAGAGGAGTACAGCTACGAAGCACATGAACTGCAAGTCAAGGAAAGCTGCCTTGGCAGAACAGCAAAGGCATCCATTTGGAAGCTCGTACACGTCCTTTTCAACGCGCAAAAGGATGGCCTATGAGCCATCCCAGCGAAGCTGAAGCAAAGTGAGGTCACATAAGCACTGCTTCCTCATGTCTGCGTTTTTGGTATTTCTCAGTCCTTGATGGTGTCGCCGTTTGCATCAGTGAACAAAGGAGCCTGACGAGCTATGTTCAAGGCTTCAGCACAGCGACCAGCCGCAGGCTCACATAGCTTCTCACCTCCATTCCCATCTCTTCTGAGAACCTGTCAGGCTGGTGAATGAAGGACTCATCAGCTTCCAAGGATCTGCTGGGGTTCACACTCATTCTGGATCACGGCTACTCTGTATCCGTGTGGCTTTTCTAAGATGTACCTGCTAGCTCGTATTGAACAGTCTGGAAACACAGCAAGCCAATCAAAACGGCCTTAGCAGGGTAGTCTTGCCAGCTCCAAGCACGCCAGTGAGGACAGTGACCGGAATGCGCACCTCCCAATTGCCAGAACTCATTGGGCCCATATGAGCCTCTCAAATGCCACAAGCCTGGGAGGCATCCTCACCTCAGCACCAGCTACGGCCTAGCGTTAAAAAGATCAGACACTTTGCGTGGGGGACCCCACAATGAACAACCAGCAGAATGGCCAGCCCTAGGTTGCTTGGAAATCATCATACTTGTGTACATCGTACTTAACCACAAGCAGCATTCGTGCTGGAGGTGGGATCAAAATATTGGAAGCAAAACAGGTCCGGAGGCAAGCGAGGCAAGTCATTTGCACATTAGAGTCTGAAGCAACATCTTGCAACTGGACTTCAACATGGGAGATTCAGCAAGACAAAAGCCCATCAGAAGCAAGGAGTGGTCAAAGCTAAGGTAAAACAAGCGGCCTGAACTGCCCACTTTTTCCCACAAACAAGTGTAAGCGGTTGGAGGATAGAAGTGAGGGTTCAAGTTCAGTTGAAGAAGCATACACTGCGTGTGTCAGCAATGGTCCAAATTGGCCCCACAGAGTCTGTCATTTTCTGAAAAGCTGAGATCCTTGCTAAGCGAAGCGTCCATTCCAATCCATGGAGCTCTGTGAGTGGTGACCCCTCAAATCCCGGGAGCTCGTAAGGCTCATGTGTTCTGGTGTTCCTTTGTGACTAGTAGCGATGCCCTTGGCTCCTAGTAGCGTACTTTGTTCCTAGTAGTAAGGCCAGGAGCTACTAGTAGCATCCTTGCTCCTAGTAGCGATGCCAGGAGCCGCTAGTAGCAATGCGCTTGTTCCTAGTATAGCGTAATATTCCGGCTTCAAGAGTTGATCGTCCACATTAGATCGCTATAGTTGACCATCTTCCTAACAACGGTTGTGGCTTGAAGATTTAGTGTGTTGGAAACTGAAGCGAGAAGTGAGTCAAACTAAGGGTCAAAGAATGAATTGCATGTAATGTGCACCATGATACTTGCTTTCGCTGTTTTGGTTGCAGTAGCTGACAAAGGTGAGCCACAGCCAGAAAAAACAACAAAGATCTATGCCCAGTGCCAGAGGTTGAGCAACATGTGAGACACCATAGGCTGTACTTCCCTGGCCTCGTTGCATACCTTACAGAGTGAATATCCATATCCTGCAAGTTGTGAGTATCGTTTCTGGCTTTCGAAAGCACAGCAAGCAGCAGTCCTGCAATATCTTCACGAATTCCTGGAGCAAACATGAGCTTGCAGCGTGACTCGAAATGACATGACAAGTGAAATCCCTTGGTCCGAGTCCTACTTCTGCGGACTGTGGACTTGGAAAGACTGAGGGCATAGCGTTTGAATTTGAGCTGGTTTACAGCAGAGGAACTTGCACTTCTTAGACATACTAGAACTGAAGCTCTGCGGTTTCTTCCACCTATGGCGCGGTCAGCCATGACTTCCGCTCTTCCCTCTGGTTTGCTTTTGTGCGAGTGAGTTATGGAGATGTTCAATTTGCCTTGATTGGGCCAATATCTTTCAGACAACATTTGATCACAAAACCCTTCTCCTCAAATTCCAGATTCTGAGAGCCATCAGTGTCCTGATCAATCGCTTTCTTACAGCGCTGCACTACCCAAAGGCCGTTTGGGCTCGCTCCATATCACTAATGAGCTGGTAGATGGTCGTGTTGTCCGCCTTTCCAACAGCAAATCTTGTTTCCAAAGTGACAGTGTGAAGAGATCAAACTTGCGGGCCTCGAAGCCCAAAGCTTTCATCTGCATGCGGATTTCCTGCAAAGAAGGTGAAAAGCCAATCACAACAACTCACTCAATCATGATTCTGTTGAGAAAGAATAATTCCTGCTGAAGCAAACAACACGATTCACACTTTTCCACCCCAGAGCCACTTCCACTTGAAGCGAACCAAGACCACAGGAGTTTCATCGGGTCTTCCACCCAGCTGCAAATCGAGAGAAGAGCCCCAACGGTGAATTGATGCTCAAGTTGTCGTAGGAGTCCATCACAATTCCGACTTCGAGGTCGCCAAACGCTCGGGGATTGACCACGCCAAGTCCCTCAAATGCTCAAGACCCTGAAGGGTCATCTGTTCAGCTCATTTGGCGTCACTGGAGTCTCCGCAGTGCAGCATAAATCTCTTCAAGCCTCCCATCAAGCAACACATCATAATCATTGTTCTTCATTTGAAACATTTGAGTCAGAGCAAACAAAGATGTACCAAGCAAACAAAATATCTGACTCTTACCTTTTCTTCATCCGCACAACGAAGTGACGGCCACCACCTCCATAAAGCCGATTGTGAGCCTTGCGAATCAGATTGTGAGACAACGCTCGTGCACGCTCAACAAGAACTAGAACTGGCCTCTTCAGCTTCCCGCAGCGCCTTTCACTGACAGCTCATCGACTGTGAAACTTCTGAGACAGCAAAGCCTGCGAGGCCTGCCTCCTTTAGGTCCGGTCTAGGAGAAACTTGAGGCGTGGAGAGTGTCCACCTACAAACGGGTAATCTGTTTGTCACCGTGGACTGATCCACGGTATCCTAGTTGTGGCCTTGCCATACACTGAGCCAGCATCATCGAATACTTCAATTCATACCTTACGCTCGGTGGATTCCGTAAGGCTTCGTGGACCGATCCCGGCAGAGACCACCCTGCGCTGAGCGTGCAGCTCTGAACTCGGCGCAGCCAAAGCCACAAGTGATGCACAAGTTCGGAAGGCATGAACCTCATTTCGACGGAAAAGTTTGTCTCGTTCGAATGGAGAAAGTTGCTTGAAAGACCAAAGTTGCATCTGCATCTGACCAAAAGACTCTGTGCCAGACTGCTTCGGGAAACAGGCCTGCTTCCTGCGCAGCCTTAGTCATACAGGATGGGAGACCAAATGAACAAAGCCTTCAAGGCTTCAGCCATAGCCAAGCCATGATCTCCCCAAAGGAATTGAGACCTTCACACTGTAGAAAGCGTGGAAACATGCCAGGCACCATTCTGATGATATGCGAACAGAATTCAGAAAGGTTTTGAAGAAAACACAAGACTTGGCAATTCAGAAACGTTCGGAAGAAAACACAAGACTTGGCAATTGTCGTTTCTACCTACACAGGTGCGGTTTGAGAACTTGCCTCCATACCTTGCGCAAATCAGCTGGTAGAGACTCTTCTGCCTTCTCAATCGAGGCAAGTGCCTCACACAACGATGCAGCCCCAATTGAGTTGCAAATAGATCAAACCAAGGGTCTTGCAGAGCCCATCCCCTTCACCACTTCCACCATTTTACTCTTGGCTCCACCTGACCCAACAACTAGCTGTGTGCCCACTTGTCAGAGTCTTCCAGTGGAGACCCGGTGATGGATCTCGATTAGCACGTTTGTCCATTATGGAGCTTTGCACAAAGAGTTCGTGCCACCATGACTTCTCATCAGCCATCCACATGTCATGCACAAAATGCCTCGAGCAGCAGAAAACTTTTGAAGCTCCAGCCTTGGCCGTACAAATCCTAATTGGTCTGCTGTCACGACATTTGATATACTCTATATATATATAAAGTACAGGAACACGCAGAAAAACAATGGCGAGCAAGACTTTTTGGGGGATGGACGTTTCGATTTGGATTCTCCAACTTGTGCCAGCTTTCAAAGGTCTTGCACTGATGGGGGAAATACACGCAAGAATTGCGACTATATCGATACTCCTTGTAGCACTTAGAAGAAGGCACACTGAACAAACCAGGTGCAAAACACGCGTGCAGGTGTTGCCAGGGACAAAAGCCAGTCTGCAAAGCTTCCAGAAACAAAAGCAGCAAGTACAGCGGGAGGAGAAAAAAAGGGCAGCGACAAAGTCAAAGCCTTGATGGACTTCACAATTCACAATAGCTTGGAAGGTAACAGAAATCAGCGGTGAAGTGCACTGCCGTTGCTATACCAGAAAAGCCGGTGGCTTGCACAAAGAACTTGGTTGTGGTTGTGAGCATATCCCCCCGGCGGTGCCACTGCATGGGCTCCAGCAGCGTCAGTAAGACTTGAACGGCCTTGCTAGGGTGGCTGTAGAGGACAGAAGCTGAGAGGGGCGCAGTATGCATAGCTCAAGAAGCAAGGGCCCCTGGCCGCCACTCGAAAGTGCTACCCAAAAGCCTAACCTCTAAAAAGATCTACGACTCGTGATTCAATTCCAGTGACGGTCCGCCGTCACAGGTACAAGCCTTTTGCATGTGCATGTTGCTATCCAGGGCCACACACACCTGACTAGACCACAAAGGAGTTTCCAATGTGAAGTTGAAAAAGCCAATGGACTTTGAACTAATTACCTTGCTAGACTGCCGAGAGCAATAGGCAATAGCTCACAAATCCTTCAAAAAAGCCGTCGATGCCAGCCTGCTTGACCACAAAAACCAAACAGCCACGACCGACTCTCAACTACAAGACAAAAAAGAGTTCAAACTGGCAAACTACAAGAAAGAAAGCCAACCAGCGCCGCCGCACCGCGACGTGTGCAACAGCAACAGCACCATGAGAGCAAGAAAGGAGAACGTCAAGGCCTTCCAGCATCAAAGACCGGCAGTGCAATGCGGTCCGCATGAGATGCACAAACAGTACCAGAACCGTACCATCAAATGCAACAGCACCAGGAGAGGCACCCAAACACTCACCGGAAAAACAGTTCAGTAAGAACAAGTTGCACGAAAGCTGGTTCTCTAGCTTCACACGACAAGACAGCACGATAACCTGCTTGCTCTTCTGTAAAGTACTCGCAAAGTAAATGTGGCAAGAAGCTCCAAGTCATCAGCAAGCCTTGAAGCAAGGGATGCGTGTGGAGCCTGCAAGTGACTCTTCAACATCTTACACTCTCACTTTCACCCTGCACTGCAGTTGCCTCTTAAGATTGGGATGCAACAAACCACGTAGCTCACAGAAGCAAGACCGTTTAGAATATATAGCCCCTCAGCCCTGCCTCAATGGTGCATCTACAGCAGTGACAGTAAAAGCCGTAGATGCTTTGCAGCCTCAAGTGTTTGAAGCGAATTCCAAACTCGATGGCAGGCTGAGGAAAGCCAAGATACGCACTTGCTCTGCCTTTCACGGAATGTATCAAAGGGATAAACCTCGCACTTCAGCCCGAATTTGAGCAGGGCCAGTAGGCTTCGTGGCTCTAATCACAACTTACCAAGGACCCAACATAGGTATGGAGAAGCTCCTGGAGACCCGACCAACTCCAAAAGTCTTCAAGCCCGACTTGCTTGCTTAAATACCGTATAAGTTCAAAAAAAGAAACACCTCGCCTCACCTTTCTCAATCGGAGCTGCTGCACGAGCCACCAATGTGGAGTGGTCCTGCCACAACGGACAGTGGAGTGGTCCTGCCACACGTGCCAGGCCTACAATTGCACAATTTCTGCAGGCCTTGCCAGCCCCATAGCTGACGACGATGTTACCCAAGCAGGAGTGGTTGAAGAGGGATGCAGCCAGCCACAAACCACCAAGAGATTTCGACTCATCCAGCAGCAAAGTCCAAGGATTCCAGCGTTCGGTTTTCCGGCTGTTCAATGAAACAACTGATGCCACAGACTTCTTTGACTTCCCCCAGTCAGGTGGTGGTTGCTCAAGGCCATTGTAAGTT